CCTTCCGCCCCGAGGCCACGGCTGGGACCATACCAGATTTGGGGGGGGGAGGGTTAGCAGGGTGGGGGGCACTCCACTTCCCCTCCCACGTTCCCCCCAGCCCCGGTGCTGGGCCCCTCCTGAGCGGCAGGGGGGCCACGGTCCCCGCTTCCCCCCCCCCGGCCTCAGAGCGGTTCGACCCCAGGACTTGCGGTGCTTTGGGTGGGGGTCCTGCGGTTCCACCCCCAGACGTGGGGGTGGGGGGTGGGGGGGAGGTGGTGTCTGTGACCCCCAAAAATGGGGGATGAGGGGGGTGGGGGGGGGAGGGTTGCAGCCCCAGCTGCAGGTCGAGTATTTATTGGGGGCTCCCTGTCCCCCGAAGGGCCCCCCCAGGTGCAATACCCCCCTCCCGGGGCGGAGGCTCTCAGGGTGGGGGGGGCCGTGCCCCCCTGTTTACACCCCCCAACCCCTCAGGGGTCCCCCCTTGGCAATCCCGTGTCCCTGAGGACCTGCCCCGAGGCAGGGGCAGAGCGACCCCTCCCCGACCCCCACGGTGCTCTTTGGGGTGATGTCATGACGCGGTGACATCATCGGGGACACCCCCATCCCCAAACAGGGGACGGGGGCCCTGCCTTCCCCCCCAACCCCCTCCCTCACCTTCTCTCGATGGTTTTTTTTCCTTCTCTTTTTTTGTACCTTGTTTTGTATCTCGGGAATTTCAATGGGAATAAAACAAGCAAACGCGGCGTTTCTTGTGCCCCCTCGGGCCAGGGTCAACACCCCCTGGGGACCCACCTCGACGGGGCCACGTCTTTTCTAGGGGGGCTGGCTGAGTGCAGGAGGCAGCCCCAAGGCGGGGGAGGAGGAGGGGGAGCACAAAGGGAGCCTCAAGGAGTTAAAAACAGAAGGGAAGAGCTGTAGGGTCGGGGGCTTCCCCTACACCCCCATTCCCCCAGTTTCCCCCGGCACCCCCACCCCCGCACTTCTCCCAGCCCCGAAGGAGCGGAAACCCGAGTCAGCACTTCCATGGGGCCAAGTTCCCCTTTTATGGCCTCGGGGCTGAGTCAGCTCCTTCTCCGCCCCATCGTGACCCCCCGCCCCGGTCATCGAACTCCACGGGCGATCGCTGCCTCGCCAAGCGGGGCAGGACTGAGCCCCCCCCCCCAAAATTCCCCCCTGCTCCCCCCCTTCAGCTCCTCCCCCATCCCCCCCCCGCCACACTCCTTGTGCCCCCAGCCCAGCAGGGAGCGGGGGCTCCCCTCGAACCACCCCCACACACACCCCGGGAGACCCCTGCCCGTGGTGAGAACACTCGTGAGCTCCGACCCCTCCAATCCTGCCCAGTCACGCTGACTGGGACCGTGTGACAAACAGGGACAAGGGCCAAGGCCACCGCGCCTTCCGGGCGGGAGCGGGGGGGTCCCTGTGGCGGGCGGGTGGTCCCCCCCACCCCCTTTCCCCGCCCACCGGTGAAGGGATAAAACCCCCCTGCGGGGCTTTGTGCGGGCAGAGCCGCGTTCTCGCTTCAACAGTGCTTGAACGGAACCGGCTGCCCCTTTGGCCCCCCGTCCGTTCCGTCTGTCCATCCATCCCGTCCATCCGTCCGCCCGCCATGGAGTCCCAAATCCGCCAGAACTACCACCGCGACTGCGAGGCCGCCGTCAACCGCATGGCCAACATGGAGCTCCACGCTTCCTACGTCTACCTCTCCATGGTAGGGGGCCTTGGGGGGCTGAGGGACCCCCACCTCCCCCGAGCACCTTCCTGCACCCCAAAACCCGCCGCCGATGGGGCGGCGCCGTCTGCGAGGGCGAGATAACGGGGGGGGGGGGGGGGGCTTTTTGGGGGAGTCCCGGGGGCTCCTTCTGAGCCGCCCTCCCCTCCCTCCGTCCCGCAGGGCTTTTACTTCGAGCGGGACGATGTGGCGCTGCCGCGGCTCGGCCGGTTCTTCCTGGAGCAGGCTCGGGAGGAGCGGGAACACGCCGAGGGGCTCCTGCGCTTTCAGACACGCCGCGGCGGCCGCGTGTTGCTGCAGGACATCAAGGTTTGGGGCGGGGGGCCGCGAGCGGTGCTGGGGTGGGGTCCCGGGGTCCCTGTGGTGACGTTCCCTGCCCTTCCTTTTCCCCAGAAGCCGGAGCGGGACACTTGGGGGTCGGCGCTGGAGGCGGTGGAGGCGGCGCTGCAGCTCGAGAAGTCGGTGAACCAGGCGCTGCTGGAACTGCACAGTCTGGCCAGCGAGAAGGGAGACCCCCACGTGAGTTATCCTCACCCCCTCCCAAAGCATCTGCGCCCCCAAGATGATGTTTTCCTCTCTTTTCCTACACCTGTGCCTTGGGGGTCCACCCCTGTGCTCCAGGGTCTCTGCCTGGACATTCCTGGGACCTCCAGCTGCCCCCTGGGAGGCTCTGCCTCCCCCAGACCCTCGTTTGCTCCCTGTGGAGCCTCCCCCTCAACCCCCGACTCTGGCCCTGCCTGATCTCCCCTTTTCCTGCAGCTCTGCGACTTCCTAGAGTCTCACTACCTGGATGAGCAAGTGAAGGCCATCAAGGCGCTGGGAGATCACGCCACCAACCTGCGGCGCCTCACCGGCACCACCGGCGGGCCAGGGGGAGCCCCGGCCGGCCTCGGGGAGTACCTGTTCGACCGCCTGAGCCTGGAGGAGCGCAGCTGAACCCCAGATCCCTGCCCTGGACGGCGCCCGGGCCCCCTCAGACCCTCGTAACCCCCTTGCCCAGTCCACAGGGGCTTTGCCTGCTGGGGCACCCCCCAGCATGACTCCAATAAAGGGTCTGTCTTAGCACCATTTCTGTCTCCTTTGTTGCCTTTGGATGGCCCCATCTCCAGAGGGACCTTCCCCATCCCCAAAGTTTCACTTCCTCCTTCTCTGAATCTTCTCAATTTCCTGCTATTCCGAAGCTCCTTCTACTCCTCTTTTCCCAAAACGTCTTCATTTTCTCCTTTTCCAAATTTCCTTCCATTTCTCCTTTTCCAAAAAACCTTAATTTCCTTTTTTATTTCCTAAACTGCTCAAGTTTCCCCTTTTCCCAAATCCCCTGCAGTTCCTCCTTTCCCAAAGCACATTAACCTGGCTAAACTCCCTCATTTCCCACTGGTTTTCCCTGGAAAAAACCTGTCCGGGGCCGGGTTTCCCCAGAAAAAACTCTCGAAGGGGGCGTGTCCTACCTTCCGAGCCCCGCCCTTTTCGCTCCTTTCCGAGCTCCCATTGGTTCGCTGCGCCGTCAATCACCACCTTAACCTCCCGCCTTGGCCACGCCCCCTCACCGCACCTCCAGCTCCCATTGTCAATCACACACAACGACTGGGCGGTACCTCCCTGTGATTGACAGCACTCTTGCCCAATCACCGCCCGCTCCCTCCTGCTCCCCACGTATGGGGGGTTTGGGGTTTTTTTTTGGGGGGGGAGTGTTTTTGGGGGGGAGGATTTGGGGAGCGAAGTGACCCCCTGGGACCCCCCGGGACCCCCCCCCCACGAGGCCCCTCAGGGGGCGGGGCCGGGCCGGGGCGATCTGGCCCTTTGTGTGGGAGAGCGGCGGGTAGAGGGGCCGGAGCAGGTTCGGGGGGCACGGGACCCCCGGGGTGAGGGGGGGGGAAGAGCGGGATCCCCGGGGTGGGATGGGATGCGAGATCCCCGTGTTGATGGGTGGGGGGCTCCGGGATCCCCGGGTTTGGTCGGATGAAGGGGCCGGAGCAGGTTCGGGGGGCGCGGGACCCCCGGTGTGAGGGGAGGGGAAGGGAGGGACCCCCGGCGTGGAGGGAGGGGACCGTGGGACCCCCGGCCCAGGGACCCTCGGGGTTGTGGGGGAGAGGGGCTAGGACCAGGTCCGGTGCCTTGCGGGAGGGACTCCCGTGGTGGGAGAGGGGTGGGAGGTCCTTCCTTTAACCCTGTCCTAATTCCTCTCCCCCCCCAAGATCCACCTGAGACCCCCGGGAGTTTTGGGGGGCCACGATGGATACCGGCGGGATGGAGACCTCCTCCCATCTGAGACCCCCCGAGAGCCCCCGGCGACCCCCGGGACCCTCAGAGGGCGAGGACACGGAGGGGGATCCCGTGGGGGGTTCTGGGGGTCACAGGAGGGGTCCTGGGGGTCCAGTGGGGGATCCTGGTGGTCCCAGACCTTCAGGAGGGTGTCCCAGGGGTGGTCGTGGTGGTCCCAGACGTCCAGGTGGGAGTCCCGGGGGGCGTCCCAGGAGGGATCCTGGTGGTCCCAGGGTGGGTCCTGATGGTCCAGGGGGGGATCCTGGTGGTCCCATGGGGGGTCTTGGTGGTCCCAGAGGTTCAGTGGGGGGTCCCGGGGTGGGTCCTGGTCGTCACGGCGGGGGGCCCAGGAGGGGTCCTGGTGGTCCCAAAGTGGACCCTGGTTGTCCCAGAGGTCCCGAGGGGAATCTTGGCCGTCCCGGGGAGGGTCCTGGAGGGTCCTCTGGTGGTCCCAGCTGTCCAGGGAGCAATCCTGGTGGTCCCAGGGTGGGCGTCGGTAATGGCAGAGGGTCTCCTGGTGGTCCCAAGCGTGCTCCCAGGGGGAATCCAGGCGCGCCCGGGGTGGATCCTCGTCATCCCAGACCACCCAGAGGGTCTCCTGATGGTCCCCGGGGCGATCCGGGGACTCCCGGGGGGGCCAAGGGGAATCCCGGGGGGTCTCCCGGCAGTCCCGGGGGGTCTCCCGGCGGCTCCGGTGGCGCCGGGACCGAACTGCTCCGCCTGCGGTTCCGCCAATTCCGCTACCAGGAGGCGTCGGGGCCGCGGGACGTTTGGGAAAAGCTGCGGGAATTATCCCGGGGGTGGCTCCGGCCCGAGGTGCGCACCAAGGAGCAGATCATGGAGCTGCTGGTGCTCGAGCAGTTCCTGAGCATCCTCCCCGAGCACATCCAGAGCTGGGTGTGGGTCCGGCACCCCCAGAACTGCGCCCAGGCCGTGGCGCTGGCCGAGAGATTCCAGCCGGGAACGGAGGAGAACACCAGGATCTGGGAGGAGCAGGTGGGGGAAGGGGGAGCGGCGGGGGGAGGTTTAGGAGGCTCTGGTTGGAGGGGTCTGGGGGTTCTTGAAGGGGGTCTGGGGGGTGGGTTTTGTGGGCTCTGGGGGGTCTCGGGGGGCTCTAGGGCCCTTTGGGAGTCCCAAGAGTCCCATTTTTGGGGTGGTCCCGCAGGTGACTGTGCGGGTGAAGGTGGAGGAGGTGCCCCCAGAGGACCTGGATGACCCCGAGGCCTTGGGGGTCCCCCTCAGCCCTCCTTTGGAGGGGGAGGGGGAGTTTGGGGCCCAGGGGGAAGAGCCACAGGAAGGAGGTAACAGGGAGGGGGAGGAGGAGACCCCCCCGAAAAATCGGGGGGAAGGGGCTGTGGGGGGAGGTCGGGGGTGGTGGGACCCAAAAACCATCTCAGTGGACCCAAAACCATCTAAATGAGTCCAAAACCATCTCAGTGGACCAAAACCCACCTCAATGGACCCAAAACCATCTCAGTGAACCCAAAACCATCTCAATGGACCCAAAAACCATCTAGGGGTGGGATCCCAACATTGACCCCCCAAAATCCATCCAAGGGAGGTGGTGGGAGGCTCCAGATCCCACCACTGACCCCTCCCCAAATTCCCCCCTGACCCCTCTCCTCCTTTCCCAGCTCCTGCCACATCTCCTCCTCCTCCACCCCAAGATCCCCCCCCGCACCCTCCCCAGGACCTCCGGGCACCCCGGAGAGGCTCCCACCAGCACCGTGCCCGCCGGGACCCCCCGGAGGAGCGTCCCCACCCCTGCCCGGAGTGCGGGAAGACCTTCGGCCGCCCAACCCACCTGAAGACCCACCTGCGGACGCACACGGGGGCGAAGCCCTTCGGCTGCGGCGCCTGCGGGAAGCGCTTCGGCCACTCGTCCACGCTGACCACCCACCGGCGCCTGCACACCGGGGAGCGGCCCTACGGCTGCTCCTCCTGCGGCAAGACCTTCACCAACCCCTCGGACCTGGGCAAGCACCGGCGCTCGCACACGGGCGAGCGGCCCTACCCCTGCCCGGCCTGCGGCAAGCGCTTCAGCCAGCAGTCCAACCTGGCCATGCACCGCCGCAGCCACACCCAGGAGAGGCCCTTCCCCTGCGGGCTCTGCGGCAAGAGCTTCAAGTACCTGGCGGACCTGACGGTGCACGGCCGGTCCCACACCGGGGAACGGCCCTTCCCGTGCCAGGCCTGCGGGAAGAGCTTCAGCAACAAGTCGTCGCTGGCACGGCACACGCGGATCCACGCCCGGGCGGCCGGCAGGGACAA